TGATCTGATGAACCCAGGGCAGAACTGCCTGCTAGATGACAGTGGCAGATTTCTGCCAGTCCTGCCATAAGTCAAATGCTACATCCTGTTGGCTTGTTGGGAATTACAAAGCCCTGGTATTTTGGAGGAAAGTAGGAAGGGAGAGGGACTCAGTAGGGCCCCGTTAACGTTAATCATGTTCCTAGACTTGAGAGCACTGCCCCTCACCTCTAGCTGCTTCCTTGAGGATTACTAAAAAGTCTGGGTCCCCTATCTGCTCCTAATTCCCCCTGGGGGATGGAGGGGCTCCATTAGAGAAGGAGGATGGGGTTGAATCCCTTTCCCTCCCACTAAAGGGGGTACCAGGTCCAGCCTGCACAGCCTTCCACAGTCCACCTGCCAGCTGCACCGTCCCAGGAGCTGCCCAGGACCACAGTGCTCCTGAGCCCCAGATTTAGGCAGCTATGCAGGAGGCTTTGTCCTCTCCTTGTCTTCTGGAGAGATGGCCAAATTGTTGACGGCCTTAATCCTCTAAGGGTGTGCAAGTCAAGTCCAGCCCTAACGCTAAGCCTAACCATCTAGCTCCCGGTGGTGATGGTAGTGACTCTGATGTGGGCGTGGAAGCATGATGCACCGTTTTCCCACAGTGCACTCCAAGCGCATTGCACCCAGAGCCTGGTCACCACGGAGTCCAGATACCAAATGTCCTCCAGCCTCTGTTCCCCATCCCTCAGGAAGCGCGGGACACATAAAGCACATGTGTGGGTTTGCCGTCTCCCTCAGCATCCCCATTCCAGTTCATCACGTGCTCCAAGAGTTGGAATGTCTTTTCAAGTTGCTGAGCAATAAACTTCTTTCTCTTCTTCATCGTTCGTGGCCAGCCCAGTAAAGCTGTCAGTTGGCTCCTTTCTTGACTGCTAACCATACGTAGAGCCCTTGTCCATGGGTCTCGGCCAGGGAAAGGCCAGCTCAGTAGAGATGGAGCCACAGATACAAGGGCCTTTGCAATGAGGGCATAAATGGGGGACCCTGGAAAGACCAAAAGAGAATGGAGAGTAGTGACGTGATTTTCGCAGGCGGCCGGTGAGCAGTGATATCCTGCATCAGCCGCCTTACAGAGGACTCTCCAAGGTCGGGGCTGCTACTCCAGGTGGTGACGTAGAGGGGCAGGGCCCGGTAAACCAGCAAGCAGTCCATTACCGTTCCATCACCTCCTAAAAGAAAGCGGCGTTTACCTGCTTTGTAAGTGGAGACTTTGACACACATCCGAGAGCACTCTTAGCCATGAAAAAAATCACCCAAGAGCCGTCAGCTGGTTTTTGGTTCTTCCAAAAATTAGTCTGTGCCAGATGCGAACTTCAGTTCAAGGCCTACTGAGTATTTTCTGAGTTTCTGACATGGTTAGGCACTGTGGGAAAACTATGATAGGCAATTCTGAGTTGCTGGCTATTTCTTACGCGAGACGTGGACACTTTTGACAGTTAGGAAACTGTGCACCCAGATTTCCATCAACCAGTGAATGGATTAATAAAATGTGGTGTATCCACTCAATGGAATATTATTTGGCCATTAAAAGAATGAAGTGCTGAGACATGATACAACATGGAAGAACCATGGAAACATGCTCAAAGAAAGAAGGAGGACACAAAAGACTATATTGTACAAATCCATTGATATGAACTATCGAGTGTAGGCACATCTATACAGACAAAGCAGATCAGTGGTTGCCTAGACTGGGGGAGGGGGAGAGGACAGGGAGTGGCTTCTAATGGGTACAGGGTTTCTTTTGGTGGTGATGCAAATGTTCTAAAGTCAGATGGTGGTGATTGCTGCATAGTTCGGTGAATATACTAAAAAGCATTGAATGATACACTCTAAATGGGTGAATTTATGTGAATAAGTAATAATTTATGGGATGTGAATTGTTATCTCAATAAAGTTGTTTGAAAAAGCAACAGTGCAACATGGTATGGAACTGAGTGTGCATCTTTGTGGTTCAGACGGTTACTGTTGTACAGAAAATGAGGGTAGAGACACTCGTGCCAGCAGAAGGCTTTCTGGGTGTCTCGGATGGTACACTTTGAGTAGGTGGGTAGGAGGGCTCTAGAGAGATGCCTGACTTGAGCAGAAGTAAGTTTCATTGCGGGGCAGAAGTAAGGCAGTTCGTGCAGGAGACATTCAGACTTGGAGCAAAAAGTGGGGACGAGAAGGTCGCATGTGGAGGTGGGAACAGACTTGACGAGTGTTGGATGCCAAGCACGGGGTTAGAATACACCCTCTACACAGCACAGGATATTGATCAGGAGCATGAATGGGACTAGCTCACCAGGGCCTGGAACATCACGGGGAGCTTTACCTCCAGCGGCAGGAACAAGAAAGCCGGCTCTTGAGGCTTTAACAGACCACGTACAAGAGTTTTGTTCGCACGTCCTGGCTGGAATGAGCGGGCAGTTTTGGATCCAAGCTAGAATCAGCTAGAGCTTGGTCCCAGCAGGACCAGTCTCCCTTTGCTGCTTTCTCCTGGGGAAACGCCCGTGTGCTCCTTGCTACCTTTTTGTTTCTGGGACCTGTCAAAATAGGCTGTGATGCCAGAGGCTAAGAATTTGAGTTTACCGGAGTTTACTGTTTGACCAACGGCTGGTACAGATCACGAGCTGCAAAATATTTAATCAGTGAGGTCATTGCAGGGAAATAAGATTTGATCCACAGGAGCGTCTTCTGTTTTCCTTAAGGGTCAAGTCTGAACGGCTTTTCTTCTGCCTTCTTTTGGCAAAACCACAAACCATTAAAAATGGAAAGAATAACTTTTTTTTTCAGGACCCACAAAAGCTTATATTTAATGAGTTGTGTGGTCTGCTCACCTTTGGTGGCGTTCCTCTCGATCTGACTCACAGTAATAAATGAGTGCGTGCCTAGTGGTTTTCAAACCCTAAAGCAGCACTCCCTTTCTGATGACTCCATATTTGCCCAATATTTAAGACAGAGCCCTTGGGTCGAAGGGTGCCGGGGCCTGCAGCCTTGGCCTCTGAGCCTTATCCGAGGCCCCTCTGAGCAAAACTACTGTTAGTCCTTGGCTCCCAGGACACCCATTTCTTCCTTGGTGAGGTTTCTAGAAGAAACCTGTTTGGGACTTCAGAAAGAGTTTTTTAAAATGAGGTGGTGCAGGAGAAGAGCGAGTTTGGAAGGGAAGATGATGAAGAGACAGTGCATCATTGTTACCTTATTCAGCGAGCGTTTATTGCCAGCTGTCATGTGCCAGGGCCCTACTGGGTGCTGGGATTTGAAGGTAAATGTGACACGTCCCCACACTCACAACCCAGTCGAGAAAGGGGACTTTCCTTCAGTGTGACAAGTGAGAGGGGAGAGCACCTGACCCAGAGTGGAGTCAGAAAGGGCTTTGAGGGACTTCCTTGGTGGCCCAGTGGTTAAGACTCTGAGCTTCCAATGCAGAGGGTGCGGGTTCAATCCCTGGTCGGGAAAGTAAGATCCCACGTGGCAGCGTGGCCAAAACAACAAACAGACAAACAAAAAAGAGAGGAAGGGTTTGAGGCAGTTTCCAGCCAGGCTGAGAACCGGAGGGTGTGTGGACAGAGCCAGGCAGAGATGCAAGGCCTGGCAGGGCGGTAGGGCCAGGTGCCTTTCAGAGCCTCGCGCATCAGGGGCCTGCAGGGCAGGGGGCCCCCTGGCGAGCCTCTGATGATGAACCCATGGTGAGAAAGAAAGAAGGTTCCAAAAGGCAGCAGAAACTAATCGGGTGGTAGACGGGAGCTGCATCAGGTGTGTTCTTCTGGTGGGCAATGGACAGTGGACAGAAGATGCCGAGAGCAGGCTTGCACGTCCCAGGAGGAACTAGGAGCTGCGTTTTCCCCCTTGTTAGTGCAGAGCGGGCCGCCTGGAATGGTGGCCTCTTTCTGTGTCCGGCCTCAGGCCTTCTTGTTAGCGTGAGTGCAGTGTCGCTGGTGGAGAGGGATGGGTGTGCGGATCCCCAGACTCTGGGGAAGGAGAGGTGAGCGGAAGTAGATGTGTGTGCCCCTGTGTCGGGGGGGAGGGCAGGGGAGAGGAAGGTGGGGGGCTGGAGAGGGGGAGCCCTGCAGTGGGACGAGGAGAAAGGAGCTTTGTGTGCAGTGGCTTTTGCTGCCAGAGCAAGTGTGGGTTTTGTGGCAGCTGCCGGCCTCCGTTCCTAATATAGTCAAAAGGTCCGAATCCTCTGGCCCAACACCTGTTAGCTAGAGCCTCCCCTGAGCTGACCTTCCCTTGGGCTGTCTCTCCCACATATGCACCCTGTGCATCAGACCCATTGCAGGGCTCAGACCCTCCAGTGCTGAATCACTTGAACCCAGACACCCCCCATGACAAACTGCCCCCCACGTGGGTGGGGGCTGCTGGGCTTGTGGCAGGGGGGCTTGTGCAACGGTTCCGGGGGAAAGGGGTAAGCCTGCCCCAGCCAGAAGCAAACGGGGTGTTCCCCTGGGAAGCGGCCACTCTTGGCAAAGAGCTGAGTGTGTGGGGAGGGGACACTCTGGACGCACAGGGGTCCTGGGAAGGGCCGGCTGCCCCCCTAGGATGGAGAGAAACGAACCCTG